ATACAGGCTGGATAAGACATAAAGGGGACACAGTGCTCTAGTCAAGTTCATTCAGACTTTCAACAAGGAACAAAGGGCTGCAGCAAGAAGCATTATTTGTTTGGCACATCCCTCCATCCTCATCATCTGGTCCCACGAACTTCTCACCTTTCCTCCTAAGAAGCGGCTGTTCTTGAACTTGCGCATAAAGAAGGCAATGAAGAAGGTGCCTAGCATGAGGATGAGGGAGAGGAGAGCAGTGTTGGGCTGCATCCTGATTCCCAGTGACATGGCATCTGCAGAGAGCATGCTGGCGTTCAGGCTGCTTTGCACATTTGGTGGGTAAAACTTCAGCAGAGGATGTTCTGCAAACACCTGGGCAGGTGAGAGAAGTAGCAGGCACAGTCATTGCAGGGAGGGACAGAGGACACTGTCACTACTGGGGATGAGGGGATGTGGAAGGCATCTGCTCTGCAGAAAGGGGGGTGGGGGGTTGTAGTTAGATAGTGGACACAGGCAGTCTCAGCATCTGTCACCTCGCCTCACAACCTATCCAGCTGGAGAGGGCTGAGGACAGAGAAGTGGCCTCTCTTTAATGCCTCCTGCAGGAAGAGAGTGGGAGGCAGATGTTAGGGATCACCTTGCCAGCTTCTGGTGGCACAGGGGCTGGTTGTGCTGGGCTGTAGGAGGCCAGCAGAGAGCTACTCTGCACAACACCTAGGGAAGCTATGGCTGTGATGGCCCTGTTCTATTGCCTCTTGTATGCCGAAGGGGCAGGTTCCTGGGGGTCCCAAGAGACGTGGCAACCCATCTCCCAGGGGAAGGTTCACCTTGTACAGTTTGTAGAAGGTCTCGTAGATGAAGATGAGGGAGATAAGGAAAGCAAAGATCTCCTGGGTGAAGGGCGAGATGTAGCGCACCAAAAAGCTTCCTTCAGCTGCCACAATAATGAAGATGAAAACGATGAGCCACAAACCAATCCACACTCTGCCTGTCAGGTACTCAATGCCTTGTGTCTGGCAGAACTGAAATGGAAAGGGTGATAAATTACTCATGCCTCCCCATCTTCTCCCCATCAAGACTATAGACTCTCCTGAAAAAAGGCATTTTCCTCTCCACAGGCATCCAGCACAGAAACAGCAATTTCAGGGCTGGAATCGTAAGTAAAATATTCCAGAGCAATATTTTAGGATGCTGCTACAGGCGCTCATTACATCAGGAAGAATGACATGTAGGGCTGGGGGACAAAGCTTCAACTGCACTCAGCAGATAAGGAGTGCTGTAACCACTGTCACATTTCAACAGGATCAGCTCATGGGAAATGGCAATGGGAGACAGAAGTCCCAGCGGTTTGACCCACAGCATCTAGATGACACAGTCCCTGTGGAGACCTGGGAAATGCTGACTGCCCTCTCCAGTGCATCAGCAGAGTGAGTGGGTGCCAAGAATGGATAATGCCTCACAAGTACCTTGTAAAAAGCTTCTTCAAACACCAGCAGAGGCCCTGAGAAGCCAATGACCAGGAGCGGCTGGGCTCCAAGCAAGGAGAAGAGGATCCCTAAAACCGAGGTGGAGATTATCAGCTCGGAGACCCCCATGAGACCCTCAGTTTTCTCTCCTGGGAAAGAGAACAACATGTGAGTGTTACAGCCCAGACACAGGCACTATCACTGCAGTCTCTAGACACAGCTCCACACAGAGGCAGGTAAGTCCCACCAGTCAGACATCCCTTGCACTGGGCAGGGAGTGCAGATGGAGTCCAGGGAGCTCTTGGGAGATGGCTCCCAATGTCTGTCCCCAGCCCTGGGCTCTGCCTGGAAAGAAGCAGTGGGCTGAGGCTGGAGAGGCCAAGCAGCAGGGAGAGGACAAGGCAGTGACTACGGTGCAGCACCTCCATTCTCCTTAAGTAAGCGACACTAAAGCCCACCCCTGCATAGCATCCCACAGACACAGCCAGTGTTCCAGCGTGCAAAGAGCAGACCAGAAAGCAGGCCCATTACCTAGGAGTCCCCCGAAGGTGATGGCAGGAGAGAGAGCAGCAAAGTAGATGAAGAGAACGGCTGCGAGACACTGGCTGTGCAAGGCGTCTCTGATGTCACTGAGGTATTTGGGGTACCTGCGCTTTATGTCCCGAACCAGACCTCCAAAAAATATTCCAGTCCGCTTCAAAGGGTCATCCTCAGCTTCCTCCTCTTCTTCCTCAGCCTTCACTTCACACAGCTCTGGAGGTGCATGGAGGGCAGGGCTTGAGCGAGGGAATTCAGGGCCACCCTTGGATTGCCCTTCTCCATACCCCATGGAGATCTTCCTCTTGCCATGCTAATCTGGCCTCCCATAACCACACATCCCACAGCCTCCAGGTGTCCCCAGCTGCTTACAGCCTGTCCTGCCTCCATTACACATACCCCTGCCTTCTGCCCCCCACCTCCACTGCCCACTGCTGGAGCCAGGCCCTGCTCACCCCTCTGCCAGGCTCTGCGAGGGGAAGGCCCACTGGGGCACGCAGGGCACTAGGCACAAGCTCTTTTGCCCAAATGTGAGTGGAGAGACCTTTGGCTTCCTGGACATCTCCTTCCTTCATGGATTTCTGCTCCCTCTCCTTCCTCTTCCTCAGCAGCAACTTCTGGAAGGTGGCAATGGATTTAAGCAAGTCTTTCCCCTCCACCTCAGATGGAGGAATGACAATACTGCAGTCCAAGAACTCATTGATTGCATTGAGGAGATCTTGACGGTCATCAGCCATGTATGCAGCCTCATGGAAATGCTGGGAGGAGCAGAGAAAAAGAAGACGAGAGAAGGTTCAGACCAAGCCTGTGCTCAGCCACCTACAGCCTAGAATCATCGCTTACCGTGAGCCTTCAGTAACAGCCCACTCCCTCCCCTTGCTGCTTGTATCAACACTGCCACTCCATGACCCACTCTTCTGAACCTTCCCTCCCTATTCTTCTACTTAATGCCTCTCCTCCCTTCCTGGGCTATCCTTCCCAATTACCTCCTTGCTTTTCTCCCTCAGCCCTACTGCTCTAGCCCTAAACTGTGCTTCTGCAACATCTCTGCTAGCTACTCATTCCACCAGACCACACAACTCCCCTGGCAAGACCTCTCCTACAAACAAATTCAGCCCTGTGCTTCCTAGCTATCCTGGTGCCTATATAGCAAATATGGTTGTATGAGAACTGCCGAATTACAGCCTGAACCACCAATTTAGCACCTGGAGAAAAGCCCGAGTCAGCCCTGGAAGTACAGGTGAAGATGATTCACCCTTGTGACTGGAAGGGGTGCAGCCTGGCTTAGGCCTCATTTAAGGGCTGACAGCTACCAAGGAAGGATCTCTTGCTAGAGATCCCTTTCTGCAATCCTAGATCTTCAGAGATAAGTGAGCATCCTTCTTTTTGTAACACCTTATTGTGCTGATTCTACTACTATTACAATGGTAGAGGAAGAGAAAACAGGTGTCTACAACAGGAGAGAAACCATGCAGGTGAAACCAGGCAGAAAGGTTTGAAGATGCTACTGACAACAAGGACCAGTTGACAAAGAAGGGCTCCATGGAGATCATGAGGGGACAGTACTACTACAAATAGTAGGGGAGGTGGCTGGCAAGCAGGTGGAAGTGTTGCATTACTTCCTGAAAGGACTAGAAGACGACGAACAAGTGAACGGCCTGCGAAGCAGGTAGGGATAACTAAAATCTCTGCAGTACACAGACTCCCTGGAGCCACAACTTCAAGCTGTAAACGATACCTTCCTCTCTTCCTGGCGCCAGTCACTGCGTAACCTTGCAATGGACAGCTTCAGCTGCTGCTGCTGACTCCCCTGATCCAGTAAGAGTAGCAGAGGCTCAGATGATCAGTCCATAAATGCAGTACTGAAGCTGGAATATGGCATCTCTTCTAACTCAGAACAGTCTCAGCTGAGCTCTATGCAACTCCTGGGAAGGGATTGTTCAGCTCTTGTTGCTTACAACCCACCTGCTCTGAGTGGACTTTTTACCACTCCTGAAGAGAGAGCTAGGCTTGTTATTCAGTTATAGTTCCAAGGCACTAGCCAGAAGACACCGTGAACTTTTGTTCTCCTGTCTTGGATGTATTCAACAGATGTTCAGATTATCTCTTCTTTGCCTTTAATTCCTTACCAGAATAATGAATTTCACTTTCCTGCCATCTAGCCAGATGGGAACTTCTAGCATTTCATGTGCCTGGAAGAAAAACTATTCTATTCTTCATCTCTCCTCCTGCACTGATGTGCTTCATCAAGAGTGTTGCAGCCATAGGTCCTAGCTAGAAGGCAAAACTCTTGATGACCAGTCCCGGGCATTTCTAGGTGGTGGTGTCAGTGTGTCCTCAGCAGGCATCGTGGTCACAGGCATCAATCAGCCTCCTCGCCTCTGTTTGTGAAATATGAACTGAACACAACTCTTCTAATCCTGGGAGGTACTTTACCCCTGCTTTTATGTACAAACCCTTCCCCTTACCTCTAACTCCATTCCAGAGGAAAGTCTACCCTGTTCTTCCCTCTGCAACAGAGCACCCTACCTTGGTCTAGCTAAGCTGCTCTTAAAAATTCTAGCTGCTTAGGCTTTTCTTTCTCACCTGGGCCTTTGCACAGCACTGCCTCAGAACTCTTATCCCAGGACTGATTTCTAAGGAACTATCCCACGTTACTGCTAGTCAGCTCCTCACCTTGTCAGACATGAGGGTGGAGATTGATCGACCAATTTCATGGTAGTCCATGTTGGCCTGGCTTGGCCCCAGCAGCACGAAGATGAATCTGACAGGAATTGGGACCTCCAAGACAGATTCCAGGAAGACGGCCTCATTTAGTCGGACAAAGGCCATAGTTGGCTGCTCCAGGAACTGCACACAGCCTACCAGGAGGCAATGTTTTGAGCGGAGTTAATCACTGAGGTGAGCTGTACTGGGCTGCCTTAGTGGAAATGACAATTCAGGAGGTTCTTTTAGCTCTGAACTCCCAACTTGGTCTCTAGACCGTTGACAAAGAGGACTGCTCAAGGTCTCCCTGGTCACTGATCATTCCCTAGCTTACTTTCTTAATCTCCTACACATGAGCTCTACTTACATTATAAGGAGCTGATTTTAAATCAGAAGGTTGTTTACTACTAAGCCAGTGCCTACATCTTGGCATTTACTGTTATCAAAGAAACTCCTCAAAAAAAAAAAAATGAAATCAGGTTTACTGAACATGACCTATTTCCCATAAAACTCACTGCTTAGCAATAATTACATTCTTATCCATTAGCTCTTTATTAATTGAATGCCATATTAGCTCTGCCATTATTATGACTGGAAAGGATGTCAGGTTAAACAGCCTACAGGTGCTGGATTGCTGTATGTTCTTTCTTGAGCATTGACACTATTAGCTTTCTTCCAGTTTTCTTGTATGTTCCCTGCATTCTTAGACCTTTTTCAGATGAAAATAAGCTAGTTCTCTAAAGACTCACAGGTACGAATTACACAGTTTGTTTTATGATGTCCATATCTCATGAATGTTTGGCAGCCTTCACAGCTCCTAACAGACTGGGAAACATTCCCGCATCCTCCAGCATACCAGCTGCTTCCTTCCCATGCTGAACACAAATGTTTGAGTACTTCTATTTCTCTAACATTATTACTGAACTTTCTGCCATCTGTGTCCAGCAATGAGCTATAGTCTGTGTTAGACTGGCAAATCCGCGTGATCTGAATGGCCAGGAGGATCCCAAGCTACAGAAATGGTCAGTGTTTAGTCATCTGAATACCCAAACTGCATTTATGAAACTAATCTGGCTTCATCACGGTTAAGCTTGGCTGAACTGCCAGAACTCTTTGCCCAAGTTTTCTATCTGCTAGACAGGCAGTGACATTTACTTTGCTTGTAGCACAGTTGTTTGCTCAGTACTCAATGCCAGCAAAGCACTGAAGAGGACTGTTCTTGTGGTCAGCAGGTACTAAACCCGCTGATGCTCAGCCGGCCTGCCCATGGCTCTCATTTGTAAAGAGAAATACATCCTGGTACTCATATACTGATCCCAGAGGGTTTGCCAGTTGCTGGGTTCTGATTATTAAAACTCAAAGCTCTTTGGCACATGCAACCAAGAACCAAAACCAGCCCAGTTGCTGGCAATGTGTGCTCCCAGTCTGGGAAGAAGACAACACAGGGCCTTAGAGCAGTGCTGGTAATCAATGCCTTGGGCACTTAACTACTTCTGAGCTTCAAAACAGGATGCTTTGGTGACTAGTTAAATGTTTGCCTCTAAGCTAGACACCAGTTCCCAACCGTTACCCACATTCAGTAGTTCTGAATGTCAAAAAAAAATAAATCCACCAATTCTATCCAGTCACACTTCATATTTATTACAGGCAAACAAGATGTGTGTTGTCACCACAAGAGAGAGTGTACAAAGTTCCTTCTCAACTTAAACTTTGGAAATGTGCACTAGATGCCCAAATATCTCTCAGGAGAGAGAACACCCAAGCTAGGCCCAGACCAGGATCTAAACTGGTCGTTTTGGTGTTGGGGTTTGCAGCCTCTTACCCACAAGGACTACAGTGGCCTCTGCATCTTCAGGAATCTTCTCCATCAACTTCAGGTACTTACGATGCCCCTCAGAGTTATGGACATGCACATTTTTCTGACAAGGAAGCATAAAAATGAGTAAGAAGCATGTCCCTATCCCTTTGTTTCCATACACAGCCTTGCTCTCCATTGCACATTGGCACCTGGACTTGTCTTGGACCACACCAGATGCCTGGCTCCAAGCCTTACATTAAAAGGTCATCCTGCAAATACCAGAGCCAGCGCAGCCATCACACGCTCCAGCAGACACTCACATAAAACATGAAGCTAAAATTAGGTCTCAAAACCATAATTCAGTGACCTGATTTCTAGTGCTCCAGGTGATTCAGGCAAGCACAGCCTTTGTGAGGATGAGCCCTCCTAGGTGCCTGGGTGTGGGCATCAAGCATTGTTGTGTGCTGTCCCAGGCCAAAGGGTGGTCCTGGGGAGTGGAAAAAGGAGAGGTAAACCCCCCACATCATCCTCACCTCTTTGCATTCAGTTTCATGGGCCTTGGGGTCAGCCATCTCAATTCGCTCCTCTCCCATGAGGGGCACACAGGTGTCTGTGGTGTGATTGTGGTGGTGGTTCCCCACAATAGAGTTCATGCTAGAGCTGGAGTGATTCCTTGGAAAGAAGCCCTCCTTCTCATCATTTGGGTGGCTAAGGGAGGGAGAAGTAGCCTCATTATACTGCTCTAGACAGTCTCATTGCCCTCTCCCACCATCAGAGACCTTTTCCCCAACAAGGCAGTGATCGGTCACCTGAGGTATAGCCAAGTCTTTGCTAGTCTCCCTTGTTGCCCGGGGCTTGCAGAGAAGTTCTGATCTTCCTGCAGGCCTCAGCTGTGTCCCACTCACCTGTGCTTCAGCAGCAGGGCACGCATCACGTTGGCTCGGTCCTCTGCTCTGATCTGGTCAGAGATTATCATGGTCTCCACCATGAGGTGAGCGATGCCAGGCAGTGTGGTCTGCTCCAGGTCAAGAAGAACAGCACCTGCCAGGAGGAAAGGAAGAGCCCTGCTCCTAGTGTGCAGCACTCCCTGCTGCACATGTGCTCTGGGAACACAGGTGCCCTGAAACAGCCCCACAAGCGCCAGGCCCTCTTCCCACTGGAGGCACCTCTTGGGCCTTCTTATTTTAAACACTCTCAGCTGAGAAATGCCACAAGTCCAGGTATCCCATGTCCTCTACATAAACTTTTGTCCCAGAGAAACCATAAGATGCTGTGTAGGCAGTCTGAGATCTGAAGAAACACTTGGTATCCCATCACCTGTGGGATGTGAGCACTCCAGGCTCTCACCCTGAGGGGGCCCAGTGAGAAAGCATCTCTCTTCACTGAAGACACCCAACTCTAGATGCATTAGTAGCTCTAGTACCTTCCCCTCATGGGTCCAAGACCTGGTGGCACAGCTGGGTGTTGCAGTGCCTTGTGCCTGAGGACAGCAAAGCAGAGCAAGGAGCCACCTCAGACATCCTTGGGCTGTTGCAATGTCCTGGAAAACAGACTGTAGGACGATCCATCTCCCCGCGTCCAACAAGGAGCCTGAACAGACACTATGTCTTCAGTGAGCAACCAAACAGCAACAGGAGCTGTCCAGCAAAACTTGTTCCAGGGCAATATACAAATCCCGTGCCAGCAGCACAAAGCAATTTCTGACTCACCATGGGCAATTGTCTTCCTGAGCTCCAGCAGGCTGCGGAAGGACAGTGAAGCCACATGAGGTTTCCCCCACCTGGCTGTGTCCTCCTCCACATCCTCCTCAAACTTGATCCAGCGGGCTGTTTCCCTCCAGTGCATCTCCTGGTTCTTATCCACCACCAGTTCATTCAGCTCCACAAACACCTGTGTGAACAGCAGTGAGAATGTGAGAATTCCCCTGATGGGTATGGTTCTATAAGTAATATGTGGAAAGCCTCACGTCTGTTCTTAACGTGCTGCTTGTTCTAAAGCAATGCTTGCACAAACTTGCCTTAGTTAACAGAGTTTTGGTGAAAAGAAACAGCTAGGGCTGGCAGCATGGCAGGAGCCTTCACCAGCACGTAGAGCAGCAGAAAGCTACAAGTAAGACAATGCAGGCAGAGGAAACAGAATGAACCAAACCTGGGTACTTCCCTATCAAACTAACAACTTTGTCCTCTGCCTGCTTCTCAGCTAGAATAAGAAGTTTGCACCCAAGTTTCTTATGCTAACATTCTGTCATAGTTTGGCCTTCACACCTTCTTACCAGAAGATGGTGATATTACTTTATTACTGTATGGGAACTGCTGAATCACAGCCTGAGGCAAGCAATGAGTCAGTCCTGGGAGCACAGGTGAAGGCAATTCACCTATGCTGCTGGAAGGGATGGAGCCTGGCTCCACCTCTCCTAGACCCATTTAAGAGATGACTACCAGTAGGGAAGGATCTCTTTTTTGGAGCTCCTTCCTCTAGAGTTTTATAGCAAGCCCAGGACAAAGGTAAGCACTCTATCTATTCTCTTTTTGGTATATTAACCTGCTTAGCCAAAATTCTCTTATTTATTTCATAATTGTAACATCTACATATTCATTGATTATACAATTACCAACTTCCCAAACAGCATTACAATTTCTGTAACTTTATTTATGTCTTTCCTAAAGTTGAAACACTGTGATTTCAGAGAAACTGTAGCTTTATTGGAAAAATGAGTTTTCAGCTTTCATTGACAATGGATAAGAGATGTCCCTACTGAGGCCATGTAAAGTATTAATAATATTGAAACTACTTTTATCACTTTATAAAATGTCTGTTTCTCAACCTGATTTATCATTTCTGAACAAGTGTGGGAGAACTGCACACAGATACCTCATGGGGTTTTCTATCCAACTTCTTCTTTTTCTTCTTTTTTTTAACTGATGGGGTTGATGCTATTTTTTTGCTCGTCCTGGTGATCTGGCTCCTAGATGGTTTCTTCATCAGATGCCTCCTCACACCAGGATTGTCTTCAAAGCGGTGGCCTGAACATGTGGGAAGGGAGAAAAGACCACTAGTGTGTCTAGAGGAAATGCACTGTTTAGCATAAGAACGCGTTCAAACCCACCTTTTTCTCTAGATTATACTAGCAAAGCTCTGGCAGTTGGAGAACTCACCACCATCCTCTGGGCCTCTGGAGATCCTTCCTGCCTCACCTACCTACTTCCAGCTGTTCCTGATGTCTGAGAGTTAATTCCTTTTAAGGATCAAGATTTCCTCCCAGGCTGTGCACATGCTGGAGCATCACTGCAAAAGTTTTTAGGTTTTATTCACTGTACCTGAGTAAGTAGTTCACAAACCCTTTCCATACTGCCACAACAAAAAGCAACCTGAAGCCCTATCAGTACAGCATAGAAGTGCATCTTCCTCAGACCACAGGGACAGGGAAAACCTCAGAGCCTTGCTCCAGAATGAGTGGACTGTCTCAGATCACAGAGTCAGTGATCTTACTCAGCTTTGGTCCATGCAGGCTCGCTGGCCTCCTTGCAAGGCAAAGCCACCCTTCTGGGGTGAAACTCAAGACTCCGTTTATCTTTCTGCAGTTGGCTTCAAGACTTGCAGCTCTCTGGGCATGAAAGGTAGTGAAAAGCATTGGGCTTGAAGGCCTTGTGCTCTTCTCGATGCTCACTGCAGGAAAATATCTGCACATCTCTGGCAAGGAAAGTAACTGCCCAACATCAGGCCAGGCGTGCCATGGCCTTGCTTCTTGGAAATCTGGGTTGTTGAATTAAATATAACACGAATCAATACTGAGCCTCAGGGGATTTTCACCCACTGGCTGCCATGCTGATGCAAGTCCTGCTGTCAGCTGGACTCCTCCCTGCTCTACTTACTGTGCTGTAATTGTCAATAGGAGCCAATAACTGCCCACTGATACATATGTTTCCAGCTTCCTCAGACTTTTGCATGGATTTCTCATTTCTTGCATATGCCCCACAGCTGCTTCCCCCAAATGAACATCAAGCTCAAGCAAGCACCTGAAGCCTTGTGTCCTTACTCACACAGGATCTCAGATCAAGATCCAAGGGTAATGTGCCCAGAGAGCAGATCTTCCCTCCTTGCCTGAAGCCAAGCTTGCCAGCACAGCATGAGATGGTGACAGCATCTGAGGGTTCAGCATGATTCCTATGGTGACTCCAAGACAACAAATTGGTACGTTACTCTCCCACAGAGCACCTCCTACAGTCTTTTCCAAAAGATGTTCTTGCCACTGTTGGTTTCCATAACTCATTCTTCATCTACCTTAAGTCTGAAGATGACAAACATTACTTTACATTGATTAAGGTCTTCCTCCAGAGTACCTGTTCTAGTCAGTCCAACTCAGCAGGAAAATGCCTTCAACTGGTGCATTAGCTCCTGCTTTCCTTCATTTATTACCCTTCATCCACAAGCAGAAAGTTCAGATAGAGGCATCAGAATAGTTGTATTGGTACTAGAAAGCAATTTCTTAGCCCAGCATCACAGAGATGGTGCACTCTTCCTCTTTGCCCCAATAGCTATAGCGTTACCTCTAGGAAAAAGACTGAAACCCTATCTCTTGGAATACTTAAACTGAACAAAATGCTAGGCAACATATTAAAAAGTCAGGGCCCTATGCTGGCTTCTAGGAAAAGCTATTGCCTAGCAATTGCTTTCCCAGCTCTAGCTGGAGTGGGACAGTACATCTGTGAGTAAATATGAGTGTATATATAAGCATACATTTGGGAACCATGCACTTAAGTGTGTGCAGACATGCAGCATAGCATGTGTAATTGGGAAGGTGAAGGCAAAGACAGGATTATGCCCATGCAGACACACAAAGTATTTGAGGGTGAGATTGGGTCATGCCTGTTGTTTCTACAGTGCATCTGTGAAGAGGAGGGAAAATATGAGAGGAGCTGAAGAAATGCAAGCGCTCTGTGCTTATCCCTGCTACCACCCAGCTGTCCTTGCACAGTGTTCCCCATACTCCAGTCATTATAAGGAATGCAAAGAGACACACTCAGGTCCAACAAGGACTCTGGTCTGCAGAAAAGCTATTACGTTCCTCCTGGATCTGAGCTGATCCTGGAAGAGGAACATGCAGCAAGTAGCTGAGTAAGTGGCCCTGGCTGGACGTGCGCTGGCTCTGCACAGACCTGATGCTGTTGTCTCTGCCATCTCTGTCTGCTGCATCGCTGCAGGATTAATCCACAGTGTGGATTTATTGTGCAGAAATAATTAAGTGTTGACTGTACAGTACATCCTATTTCAAGCACCTGCAGTATTAGCTGTAGCGATCAATGAATCAGTTAACTGCTAGCAAGCCAAATGTCCCCACTGCGTAAGTGATGTGTATCACACTTTTAAGAAGCAACCTTCCACCTTCCCAAGAGCAGCCATCCTTCCCTAGGTGAGCCTGCAGCTATTGCTCTCACTCTCAATGCACAAGTTGCTCAGCCTGGGACAGCTGATGGGGCCAATTAGCTCCAGGTTCGTGGTTTCAACTTTGCTCCTATTAAGTTGTCTAAGAATTTACAGTAACAAGTATCAAAACCAGCCAGAAACAAATCCTCACTTGTTGGTCCCTGTATAAGCACATAGGCAGACGTTCTTTCCCCAGAGGCTGCAAGGCTTATGAAGATGGGCTAGTTGAGACAGAAATAATGATGCTTGGTCTGAGAGGAATCAGCAGTTAAATGTTTTACCTAAGATCATACCAAAAGGCTGTGGTAGAGCCAGAAACTGCACCAAGCCTCTCGAGCCCATGTTGCACTCTGCCTCCCCACACCTGCTTGCAAAGCCTGGGGATAGCTCTGGGGCCATGCCACCTGCCTTTGTGCACTTGTACAATGCCTTGAAACATGCAGAATATGATGCAGATGAGGATATTTGGGCAGCTGCCATGGAGCAATGACTATAGGAGCAGTGTCCCTCCCAAGGTGACACACACAGCTACCTTCAGCTGCTGAGAAAAGGCTGGCTGTATGAAGTGGCAGTGGGGTGCTGCTTTCTGTGCAGCCTCTGGGGTGGCTCAGAGAGCCACTTCTCCACAAGGGGTGCACGGGTAAGGAAACATGTAGAGAATAGAAAGATGCTTTTTGCTCTTGGAATTCCTACTTTCTCCTTCCCTGCGATTCCCACTCTTCCTTCCTGCCTCTTTCTCCTTTCCAAGCCCTCCAGTCAGCTTGCTGTTAGCTACTTTCACAAACAACACTTAAGCCTGCAGACACTGGGACTAGTTTATTTTCTCCTCTGGGCATTAGTCTACAGTGCAGAGCTGAGAATCTGATATCCAGCACTGCTGTCAGATCCGCAACCCTGCTCGGATTCCAGCAAACAGAGAGCAACAGCACACTGTCACCTTGTGCCACAGATGGAAGGAGACATGGCTCTATCTTATGTGTAACTGGGAGCAGAGGCTTTTCCTCTGGTCACAACGTGGGTTACATCCCAACAGGCACAAACAGCAAGGGGCAGCTGCCTCCAGGACTGCTTGAGAAAGAAGCACACAGGGAAGCACCTCAATACTACAAAATGGATCTGTACAAAGACCTCATACTAACACATGCAGACACCAGACGGCTCCTCCAACACCCCCAGCCACCGGGTTGCATGCAGTGTGGCAGACAGTGCCTTCTCTAAACCTGACCAACCTGACACAGGGAGAGCAGCAGGCAGCAAACACAGAGTCAGGGCTAAGCACTACAGCTGGGGGCTCTGCTCTACAGCTGCACCCAGGGGTCACTGCTGTGGTACTTACAGGTGGGCTCCCCACCTGGATAACCCAGGTGGTTTCTGATGGCCTCCCATAAATCATAGTCTTCAAAATTGAAGGCAAATTCATCAAAGTCTTCATAGCCGAGCGAGTTGCGAACGCGGGCACTTACTGCTGCTTCAGGGCTGCTGCCCTCTTCCAATTCCCTTGCCGCCTCCTCGCCCTCCCGCAGGGTGCTCATGTTGTCCTTGTGAAGGTCAGGGGTCAGGTGCCATGAGCCACTCACCTTCCAAGGAGGGGCTGGGGCTGCCAGGCTGAAGTGCAGAAAGCGCGCTGCCCCAGGGGGGCTTCAGCGCAGCCCTGGAGTTGGCCCCAGTGCCTCCCTCTCCTGGGCACAGGGCATGGAGCTGCTGGGGCCTGGTAATGTCCTAGAAAGGATAGCTGCACCCGAGAATGTTCCTGGGGAGAAATATTCCTCTGGCTCCGCAGAGCAGGATTCTTGCTGTGCCGCAGGCTCTTTGCTGGATGCCCAGGGACAGGCAGGCTCCGTGTGCAGCACCGCTTCCCTCCCTCACTCCCCTCTGGTGTCTCCCTCCCTCTCCAGCATGCAAAGCAACCTATTGAATTCTCCATGTCCTCAGGCCCGGAGCGTGCATTTCCATGACGTCTCTCCTGTCTGCCCTCAGCGTACGCAGGGGCAGTCCCCTCAGATGTGTTTTGGAAGGGGCAGCTGCCTCCCTGTGAGCAGCATGCAGGAGGGGGAAGGCTTCTCACATAGGTGGCTGCAATCCCAGAGCTTGTGTCACACAAAGGGCTGCTAACTGGGAAAGTGTGTCAGGAAAGGAGAGAGCTAGGTCTCAGGGAAAGGCAAGGAGCCCTGAAAAGGAGAGGGCAGTGGAGTGGGTGGAGGAGGGCTGGCACCTGTGGGGTGGGTGGGAGGAGAGGTGCTGGGCTCATGTGGAAATGTGGAACCAGAGCTCTGGATACAAACAAGCTGACAGAAAGGAGCCAAAGCTAGAAAAGCAGGGGCTGAGGGACAGGGAGATAAGGACCAGATCTGTCGGGGGAGGCTGAAGATTGTGTGTGGAGCTGTCAGGAATGAGAGCAAAGCAGGGAGATGCAAAGGACACACATTATAGAGTGGTAAAATCTCACTTTTCATTCCATCCAAATCAGCAGATGCCAGCATCTGGGCCTCAGCCTCATCCGTGGGGACACGCTGATATGCTGCACTCTCCAGCGTGGTCATACTGCCGATGCACATCCTCTCCTTTAAGTCATAGGTAACTCGTTGTCCACTTGCCCCCTGGCCCCAGGGCTTGCGCTTCTCCCAGACCTGAGAAACACGTTCCCGAGGTCCAGGGAGGCTGATGGTAGAAAACAAGATAATGAGGGGCAGACACTGGTTCTTCTCAGGGGATGAGATTCCTTGACCCAGTCCAGAAAAACAATTCCCTGAGAAGGAGCAGAGTCAGAAGTCACCTATTCCAGTGCTAGAGGCTGTCCTACCAACCCTTCTGCTCCTCCTTGCCCCACAGCGCAGAGCAGGATCAGCCTGAGGTATGTGTTAGGGACACATCTCTGAGATGAGGACCTCACGCCCTTCAACTGTGCTTCCCAGGCTTTTGGTCAGCACCACAACAGAAGCTAACTGAGAGAAAGACTAGCGCACATGTGCACACAGTGCACCCAAGCCCACATCCTGAGGAACCCACAAATCCAAAGAGATCCCAGGAGTCCCAGAAAGGTGTGACCATTCTGCTGGAGAGCAACAGTGTTGCTGCAGTCGCTGGGCTCCACAGTCTCTCTGGTTCAGCAGGAGAGTTGAGACTGGGCAGAGCCACACACCTCCCCATGCCACCCCAAGTGCAGGGTCTGTGCAGCAACCCAAGCCAGGGAGAGTGGCAGCAGCTCAGCACCTGCCATCCTACCTGCAGAGGGAGGCAGGGCCCTTGTCCTGCAGCAGGTCAGTGAGGTGTGGTGTGGAGGACACCTCCTCTTCTACGTGGAACTGCGCTGGGGCCAGAGTGCTGCCAGACTCATCCTCATCGCTGCCAATGGTGAACTGCAGAGACAATAGCCTTGAAAGCAAGAGCCAGGCCAGGCACACGTCCCCTCCCACCATCTCCACAGCCTAGAAAAGGTCACACAAACTTCTCCCCCTCATATCTGATATCTTCTAAGAACAGTCACATTGATCTTCCCTCATGTCCTACACCCCAAATATGGTCATGCATACATTTTCCTCAGCATCCATTCAAGACAATGACTTCTCTGTTACTGTCCCATCAACCTTCCCCCCCACTTGCACCAGACTCCATGCCTCACTCAGGCAGGGATGCCCCAGTCTTGCCTTTGGTTTGCTTGGGGGCTCCAGCTTAGGGGATGTGTCCTTCCCACGAGCTTCGCCCTCAGACTCTGCAAAGACCTCCTTCTCCTGGGCTTCCTCTGCCTCAGACTCTCCTTCTTCCTCCTCCTCTTCTTCTTCCTCTTCTTCCTCCTCTTCTCCTCCTTCCTCGTCCACTTCTTGGATGGTAGGGGTGACCTCTGAGGGGGGTACTGAGGTTTTCTTCTTTTTCCTTCTTCTTTTTTTCCTCCTGCTGGCACGGGGAGGCCTCTTTTGGAACTTGAGGGCAGAAGGGAGGTGAGTGGAAAGGGGATGATGGATGTGGTGCGAGGTTTGGCGGTGGACTGAGAGAGAAAAAGAGAGTCAGAGGGGCAGGAAGAGGCTGGGAGGAACCTGCCAGGCGCCCCTCCAGGAAACAGCATGGTCTGGAGATCAAGGGCCAGGAAGGGCAAGGAGAGCCACCAGCCCACAGGGACACAGCAAAGCTCTTCCAATGATGTGGCAGGCTGTGGTCAATTTGAAGTGGCTGAGGAGGCAGCCCTTGCACAGTGCCAAACCACCCCAACATTGCTTTGCTACCCTGGGCAAGACAGGGCTCTCCTGAGGCTGCTGAAAGCCATTCACACAGCTGTGCAGAGCTGCAGGGATCTGCCAGAGACAACACCCCCTTCCTAAACACAGGGAAATACTTCTCACATTCTCAAACAAGCAGAGATTGGGTCATTTACAAACATTTCTTTCCTGCATAGTGTTCTTTAGTTGTACTTAAGTAGATGTGCCTTTATTTCACTCATGGGTTTGGACAGGAATCACAGACTGAGACTTTTAGTGTAGATGCAACGTAAATTCATATCTCAGGTTCTGTGAGGTACCAGCCTCTGAAATGCAGGCTCAGTTAGGAGGTTCTCTTTAAAAACCAGGGTAAAAAACAGGGCAGAAGGACTTTTCTTCAAACTAATTCACAAAGAGAAATTCATATGCAGTTGCCCTGGGTGTCGTGGGAATTACACAATGAGATGAAATTAATGGCATTTCTGAGCCATCACTCAAAACCAATGTCAATGTACCATGCAGGGAGCAGGGTAAGCTCAGCATCTCCCACCAAGAGATGGGAAAGCCACTTCTGCTTGGTCTATCTGCAGGCACAAAGCCTCCCAGATGCAGCCTGCAGGATGCATGGCCCCTGGAGCTGCACCCGGAGCAGCTGAAATGCCGGGGGCACCAGCCGCTTTGCAAGGCGGCTTTGCTCAGAAGCTCTTCCTGAGGAATTGTTTCCAGCCTGTTTTGATTTGGTTCCTTCCCAGCTTTCCTGTGACATGGCAGCAAAATCTGTTTATAGTGAAAACTACCTTCAAAGGACATTTTCAATGGAAGCTGTAACCTTCTCCCTGGGAGAGCCGGGCAGGTTCATTGTTCTGGTGTCATGTTTCCTTTCCTTTGGTTTCTCAAGTCTTTTCTCCCTTGTTTCCCCCCTTGGGAACAGCAGGAATATTTCACACACCCCTAGGTTCAGCCTCGTGGCAAGAATTAGAAGAGGTTGGGAATGGTCAGACAAATGCAAAATGGGAAGATGAGGTTCTTAATGAACACTTTTTCATCCGAAGTGCTATTTGGTTCTTTCCTTTGAATAGATAGCTTTGGACAGAAAGGCACTCCTGTTCTGCACCCCTCAACCTCCTCCTGCCACAGATAGGTCAGGGATCAATTCCTCATGCAACGAAAAGCAAGTAAGGCCCCAACAGTGCACAAAACTGGTGCTGAAGTCATAGCCCAGCTCTCACTTCTGGGCTGTTTGCATCAGGCCAAGACAGAAATGTCTGTATTTTGGACCAGCAGAGAGCCCAAGCCTCAGGCTGCAGGAAAGTGCAGCAATGGCAAGTGGCTGGTTTGGCACAGAACAGAGCAGCACCACCCTTTACCTCAGCATTTCTACCAGCTGATCACTTCTCCCACAAAGGAAGGCTGGAGGGGAGTAAAAATACACCTTTCCCAAGCACAGAATGCATTTTTCTTCCCTCTTCTTTCTCCCCATCCTTCAGCAGCTTCTGTGCACCCAGCCTCTACTCTCCTTCCCCATGCCCTTCCTCACATTGCCTGTCTGAATGGAAAGCTATGGCCAAACCAGTGTCTGATTACACTTTCCAGTGAATAAAAGAGAAGAAAGAACCCACATATTAGTAGTTCCTGGTTGTGAATGGGGCAGGAAACATTTTTAAATCCAGAGAGCATTCAGTTCCATGAGCCTCTAGAGTCTCTTTCTAATAAGCTACCAGATCTTTCAGCTTCAGGAATACATGCTATATACAATTTCTGAGAGCCACGGTTTGACACATTCCTAGCCCTAGATAACAGGGTTACATCAGGAACACAAAGGAAAACAAGCCAGATTCTAGCAAAGAGAGAAATTTTCTTCTATTTCAGAAAAAAAACAAAACACCCAAAACTAACAAAACAGCACAAATCTCTAGGCAAATTTTCCAAGAAGCTTCTGCCATGCATGCTGAAGCAGATCATCTGCATGCTCTGCGCCAACTCACACACCTGTGCACACACAGAGCTCTGAGCAGGTAAGTACTGCCAGCACAGTACAGGTATCCAACCTGCAGCAAAGCAATGAGCACCCTGCAGCCACGAGTGTGAGTGTGTGCTCAGGTGGAAAGTGCTGTTTGAATGTAGCCTCTGTAGAGAGATGGCACAAGCAGAAAGTAGCAGCTGGAGTGCATTATAGTAATTGAATGTTGCTAGCAAACTTTTGCAACACCAATTGGAAATGAGTGGCCAAGCAGAAAACAGCCTGGTGATGTACTTAGAACAAAATGTTCCTAAGGTTGTATCCTATCAAAGCTAAGCTGGGAAAAAGCAGTATCTGACTGCAGAGAGCCAGAGACTGGGAAACTCACCCAACCATTGCTACTTGTCTGCCACACGCTGGCCTGCTGGCTGGGGGGCTCTTCCTGCCGGTTACCGCCACTATTACAACCTACTGTGACCATCTACAGCAGGCAATAGCTTATGACTGCTCTTGTGGGCACACTCTCATTCTACAGCCAAAGTGACTCTGACTGTTGCCTTCTTCATGGAAGGGCAATTAGAGGAATGAGCATGCTGATCAGAGCATTCCAGGTGAAATAGCTGCAACATTTTAAACTCAAGCTCCATTTCTAATTTTCGATCCTTTTTTGAGCAGATAAGATGGTTTCATGGCTGCTATTTAGAAATACATGGGCACGTCTGACTGGAACCATCTGCTTTCAGACTGGGGAGGACAGCCTGGCTTCCAGCCATATTTGGATGTTTCTTTGCAGCCATATGGAAGAAAAATAATTTCAAAGTGGAAACTTTAGCTTGCAGAGGTGGCTGCAGAGGTCCCTGACACCAAGTGAGGAGGTGACCTGAGCTCCACGTCACCTGGGCTGAGCAGGAGTTACACCTCCAGGAAACTGGGACACTGACACAGACTGACAGAAAGCAGCAGGCACTGGGTATAAGCAGCAATTTGGGAACACTCTGAAGTAAGGTTTGCGGGTCCCTGGCAAAGGGCTGCAGAATACATGGGGCTGAGCGAGGGTTAGGAATGGATGTGGGTACAATGGTTCAAACCTACATACATTCAAAATCTCTCTCACTGTAGCTGCGTTTCTGCTTCTCCAGATCGCTTGATGCTGACTTGCTTATCAGGTCCCCAAATCTCTCGATTGATAAGGTCTTATCCAAGTCCTCATCATCCTCGGCACCAGGAGAGGCTTTTTCTGCACGATCTCTGCCCTGCACAGAAATCGCCAGATAACAGTCAAACACTGCAGGCTCCTACCATCCTCCAGGTTCTCGTGCCCTGCAGATGGAGCTGGGTTTCTGAGGAGCAGCAGGCAGCATCCCACGGGGCAGGGGAACAGTTACTCATTTCTGGGCACAGTTCCTCTGCAATCCTGGGGTTCCCGTTTCCCTTGGCATGCCTTCCTCAGGCCTTTCTGCCCAATTTCCTCACATTTCAGGCTACGGGTGTTCCTCTGTCTTTTGCTGGTGGGTAATCACCAGGTGACACCTGCCCTTTCTGCCTCCTAAGCAGCTGCAGCTGATACAACTGTCTGTCAACACAGCCAAAATGCCAGTGCTGAGCTGTTGTGGACTCTCAAGTTTCCATGGAAACAGGAGGAGGCCCAACTGTGACAAATCTGTCTATGCTGGGCACAAAGAGGGAACAGGGTGGCTTTAGCCGAGCTGTGACTCCCCACAACACCCCCAGCTGCCCCTTGGCACCACAAAGCCCCTACAGCTCCCATCCCACCAGGACTACAGACACCGCATGCTCTCAGAGGTTCCTGCTGTTTGCCAACATCACCTAATGGCACATGGAAGCAGCCTTTGGCCTTCTCTGGACCTCAGCTTGCTGTGTGCATGGGGAATGCATCCAGCCTTAAGGCCAGTTCCCAGGATAGACATGGCACTGCTGCTGCCAGATTCCCACCTCACCTGCTGCAGGTCGATGAAGGCATCTCCTATGGGAGGGGACTCGCCAGCTGCCATTTTGGTTCAGGACCTAAGGGCCTGGGCAAAATATCAACCCTTCTCTTTCACCGGCAGGCACCCAGCAAACCTGGAGAGTGGCATAACCTGTGGAGAGAGGGCAGGACAAGGGAATGTCGTGGACACTGCCACCCACTGCCCTCAGTCCCTGTGGTCTTAACCCAGAGAGGCCGCCTCGGGGAAGCTGCAGTAGGCCTCTATGCAGGCTGAGCCTGGCATAGTTGCATCACCTCCTGTCCCACCAGGAGGAGCTGGAGATGGCTCACAGATCAGCACTGGGAAGATTCAGGTCTCTGAAAACCATCTGAACTCACGCAGAGAAGGACAGACGCTGTAAGCACATCCACAGCACTTTGCACAGAGGGATGGAAAAGCAAAGTGTTCTCATCTCGCTGAGCAAGAGAAGAGACATTTGTTAACACTACAAGGGAAGAATACAAATGACTACAAAATTGGCAAAAGGGAACATTTTTTTTCAGTGATGTCATTGGGGGGGAAAAAAGTGCAAAACTAGAGGATAGCTTATCTCTCTGGGTAACAAGCTGTCGTATTTATGAGAAAACCCATCTTCCATAATAAGCTGTCATATAGCTGTAAAAGCTTTGGAAGCTTTGGAAGAAGTATGATAGGACTACAGGACAGGCTACATCCCAGAGATCTGCTCAGGCACTTCTTACCATCCCATCTGAAGTACCTGGTATGGGCCACTGTTTGAGACGTGACACTAAAACAGACAGTCTAAAGGTGACACCAGTAAGACCACTCCATCATCCCTCCTTCTGCCTTTGAAGATCTCCAGATGATGCTACTACACAGTCTCTGTTTATTCTCCCCACCTGAAGGCACATGTTTATGAAGCCAAGAATTGTGGGGCCATCACCTGTAATTGTGGGGCCATCACCACCAACTTTGAAGGACGAATGTAATGACCAATGAAGTACACTCTCCTGATCCAAGCCACCTTCTCTCAAGCCATTTGTACAGATTTAGCTCTCAGACCACTTGTATAGATTTAGCAGCTGTCTCAGGATACAGTCGTGCAAATGAACAAACTATTGAAAAGTGACAGAAGCACTACAGCTAGAAGCTAAGCATGCTGCAATGCAATATGGCTGCAAGCAGCAGAGCGCAATAGTGAGGCTGCACGCCCAGGCCTTGCAGGCATGGATGCTGGTTGTTCCTTCTACGGTTCCAGGAGCAGTCCACATGCAGCATTTGCTCAGTGCTGGGCAGAGCAGTGGTGGAAAGACTCAAATGATGAGTATTTGTTAATGACAGGGAGTGAATGTGAAAGGATAGAGCGCTATGGACATGGTTTAGAAGGCATGGTGGTGATGGGCTGACAACTGGACTAGATGATCTTAAGAGGTCTTTTCCAACCTTAATGATTCTATGAGGAAAACCAGAGGAACTAACACAGCTACGTGGACAGAAAGAGAATCAAAATGTAAGGTAAAGCCTGCTGGCTAAATAACCTGAGATTTTTGCTGTTTTTTTTCTCCCTTTGAATTTTACCCTCCTCATTATCATGAGCAAGGCAAAACTTAATGGAAGAAATTCCTCAAGCACATCTCATAGGACTCCACAGTGACCAAACCCCTCTATGAGATCTGAACAGCTTGAGAAAAATATTGTGCTAAGACAGAAGTCTGAAAAGCAAATACAGAATCCAAACCAAAAGGAACAGGATGAAAATATCCAATTCATTCTGTAGGTCTGCGAGGGCTCCTCCTTAAGCTGTAATCTTCAGGTTTGCACCCTGTTTTCCAAGAGCGATGGAAGAAAAAGGGTTTGAAGAGAAAGCAGAAAAAGGAGAAAGATCTGGAAATGAGCTGTAAGAGGAGACTATTTTTTTTCCACAGGAGACCTGATGGAGAAAAGGGTAATACATGTCTTTTATTTCCTTTTGCTTTTAACTCAAGAAGAGGGTATCATTGCATGAAATCCAACAGCAGCAAATTTGAAACTGAAGGCTGCGGGAAGCGCTCCAGGCACATCACTCCCATTGCATGCATTCATTGCTGGCCGCTAGAGGCCACCTGCCCCTTGTTCTGCAGCCTGCTGCAACCTGTCAGAGATGCTCCTCGCATCCCGCCTGGCATTTCTATCACCTGCAACCAAAGGAGTTCATAGAAGAGCAACAAAATCTGCCAGCAGGCCAGAGGGATTGGTTATAAGGAAAGGTTAGGAGCTAAATTTGTCTGGCTCAGTATGGGATGACTAAGATGGGGAGGGGACGTGCCAGCTCTCTGGAAACATCTCAAGGGTGTGAAACATGAATAAAGGTTTTTGGTGTTTTTTTTTTGTTGTTGTTTTGTTTCAGATGATCCCACACAAAGAGACTCTGAAATGAATTAAAATGTAAAAGAGAAGTTTGAAATGAATATCAAGGAGGGTTCTGCTAATGAGCATCATGCTGATGCCCAACCTGCTGCGAGCCTAGCCCAGGCTGCTGTCAGAGGAATACAAGACAAAGGGGTACTAACAGCAAAGAAAGCTAAAGGAAGATACCTCCATCCTGCTCTATCTCCTGCTTGTGGGGAGGACGTGATTCAGCATTCCCGCTACAAGTGATTTTCAGTAATAGAAGCGTGATGCCAGCAGGCCAGATTGGAAGGGAAGAAAGCAAAATGCAGGGGCTGCTGGCTGGCACGCTCTCACACCTTCCCTCTCTCTCCACCAGTGCATTAACCCTGCTCACGGCAGTTCCTGCAGGGACTCTCCTCTCAGAACGCAGCCATCAGCATCAGCAACAGCACGGGCTCACCCACACTGCTGTGCTGCGCACCAGCGATCTCGGCTGGAGGCAACCAGGCAGGAGCGTCCCCACAACACTGACAGCTCCCAGGGGCCACATGCTGCTGATAGCTTCCAGAGCGGCTCCCTGGTCCCCAAAGGCCAATTCACTGTGCCAGGCAGGGACTGCCTTGCTTTGCCAAGGAAGCACACAGGGGCTTGCTGCTTTCGCTGCCCCTTGACAGAAGGTTTGGCTGCTGCTGGATCGCAGCTTCACAGGCAAGAGGAGAAGCAGTCCCCAGGTCCCCTCAGCTCTTCCCTAATCCACCGGCAATCTGGCTGGGAGCCATGGGGTGTCTAGACAACGGGCTGCTGTGGGGAGAGGAATAAAGCCCCATAGGCACAGCAAGCACTGGGACGTGGAAGGGCAGGAGATGCTCAGAAGGGGCAGAATGGTGGGGCTGGAAAGGTTTCCCCGTGCAGGCTAAGCTCCGACAGGGCTGAGCAGGAGGTGCTGCCACAGCCTGAGAGCCGAACCCGATGCAAGCACTGAGCCCAGCTCTCCTGCACGCCGGGGGAGGGACAGGACCAGGCACGGCACAAGGAAAAGCTGCAGCACTTAAAGCAGTGAGCTCACGAAGTTTTTAAGCATCAGTGGTTTAACCAGCAGCTTTCTCTTCTGTATGGATACACTGTAACTAAAATCAAGTATTTTATAAGGTTCGAGTATTTCAGTGACTTCCATATCCTGCCGAACAGACAGACAAACGGACACAGGACTATAACGTGTGCGGTACAGCACGTTCCCCTGGCTCTCTGCTCCCAAAGGCACCGGGCAGGACGGGGCTGGCGCGGACGCGGACGCGGACACGGACACAGGCAGAGCCCCTCCGAAAGGACGCAGCCGCGCCGGATAAGCAGCCAGCCCTGCGCCTGGACAGCTCCGACGGACACACGAACAGCTCTGACGGACACACGGACAGCCAGCAGGACGGGATGGAGGCGGCAGGTGCCGCCCCGCACGGCGCGCCGTGCCCCTGCTCACGCCCTCCGCGAGGCACCGGCGCCCCCCACGCGTGTCCGCGGTCCCCCCGGCCCGGCCCCTACCTCGCACCGCCGGGTTAGGAGAGCCGCCCGCCGCCGCGCTCCGCCCGACCCGTGCCGCGCCGCACCGCACCGCTCCGTGCCGTGCCGGTGGCGGGCGGGCGGCGCTGCGGCCCCGGCCTCCCGCGGGCCCTGCGCACGGCGCGCCGCGGCCCGCCGCCCCTTTGTGCCGCCCCCGCTTGCAGGTAGGGCCGCGGGGCGGCGTCGCGGCCCCCCCCTCCCAGCGGCGGTGCGGCCGGGCCCCCCCCGGGCGGCGGGGACGGCGGCGGGGCGGGGGGCGCGGGCCCCGCCGGGCGGGAGGGGGACGCTGGGGCGGGCTCCATGGCAACCGGATGTAAGCGGCGGCGCTCTAGCCGCGGTGGCGCGGCGCGTCTCTGTGGTAACGCGGAAGTGCGCCGGGCCGTGGAGCGACGGCGAGCCGAGAGGAGGCGAGCCGGGCAGGGCTGCGCTCCGCTCCGCTCCGCTCCACTCGGCGTCCCGCGAGCGGATGGCGGCGGCGGCAGTGGAGCCGCTGGTGAGCGGCCTGGCGCGGCTGCTGCAGGACACAGGTGAGCGGCGGCCGCTCGGAGGGTGGGGAGGCCCGGCCGGCGACGGCGCTCACGGGCCCGCCCTGCTCTCCGTTCCCCGCAGGAGACCTGGTCCTGGACGGCTCCAGCACGCTGACGCTGCTCACCCCCACGCTGCAGCATCTGACGCGGGTCTTCGAGCAGCACTTGGGCTCTCGCAACCAGCACCGCGGCTTCGTGGCGCTGCCCTCCCACCCGGCCGAGACCGCCGCCATCCTTCAGGCGCAGTTCCTTTTCGACATGCTGCAGAAAACGCACTCCCTCAAGGTCCGTGCTGCCCGGGCTGGGAGTGGCAGCAGGGGTGAAATGGGCTCGGAAGGAGAAGGGGATTGCGTGTATAGGCTGCTCCTGGGTCCCACAGCTGTGCTAAGAGGTGCTGTGGCTGAGCCTGCGGGTCTGTGTGTTTCCCCGTGAGGGAGATGGGAGACAACGGACTGAATGTTGCTGGGAGTTTTACAGTGACGCGCTGAGCTGGAGATCAGAGTGGGGGCCCAGAGCCCGTGCAGAAATGCAGCTCCTCTGACAGGGCGAGGAAGGGAAGGACGCTGAGTCAGGAGGGTGTTGTGGTCAGTACTTGTATTAACCAAATAACAGGCCCCGGGCAGAGGGCAAGCTGCTCACTGTAGCGTCAGCTCGTTCAGATTCTTAAGTCCGTGGAAAGACAGAAGGATATGGTTAAGTTCTCTGGACACAAAACAGAGATGGCATCTTACGTGAACTTTGTTGAAATTGACCGTGGTTGCTTCCCAGAATGAGCGTCCCCTGCAAACGATCCTGCTCAACATGCTGCATGAGTGCTGGCAGAAGCGGGTGGTGATTCATTGCTGCCTGGCTGTAGCTGTGAAAGCCATAGTGCTGAGGAGGCCCTGAGAGTCTGTTCTGCACCTGATGAGTCACTTCTGTGTGCATGTAGCTGGCAGAGATGGTCTCTCCATTTGTGCCCTGGTGCCTGCAGTGGGAGCGTTAACTGCCTTGTTGCTTCCTTTGTCTGAAAGACTGTGCTGTCACTGAAAGAAAAGGAAAGGAGCTGAGTCTAATAAGCTCCTTTGTGAAGCTTATATATGAACATGGTCTTAACTATTTTTTGGTGAAAGCCTATGGCTGCACTACAGAATGCAAAGGAGACATTTGCAGCCTCCTCAGTCTGATGTTAACAGTGTTTTGGAGAACAACATTATTTTCCACATATCTACTAGTGATTCGCCTTAATTGGCCCATTCTTGTGAAATGTACATGCATACCTCCCACCAGTGCTCTAGTTCCACTCAGCTGATTGATAACCAGCAGCTAGATTTGTTTTTATTTAGTTAATGCTGGTTGATGAGGATCCCATCTCTCAGACCTTCCTGCACCTCTGAAAGTGGTGAAGCCATGTGGGCAAGGGAGAAGAAACAGAGCTGTATGGTCAGGCAGCCTTGTCCTGCCTGCATTTCTGTTGGGTCTTTATTGAACTGTGGGACCATGAGGCAGTGTAGATGCCAGCATGGAGGGCACTAAATAATGCTAAATAACAGAGCATGTTATTTAACACCTGAGCTGGAGAAGGTGCCCATTCATGGTACGTCAACAGTATTGCTTCATGAGTATTGCTTAATAAACTGAGGTTTATATAAGGCTTCTTTCCTGATTTTTTATTTATTTATTTATTTTTTTCCTAGCTCATTCATGTTCCAAACTGTGCTTTACAATCTACTGTGAAGATATTCCCTTTCAAGTCCCTCCGGCATTTGGAAGTAAGTACAGGAGGCAGAACTGGCTTTCAGTCTTGCGGCGTGGCTGCTCTTTACTTAGTTTTGTGGTTGGAGGATGCCTCTACTCCTAAAAACTGGGTTGGCTTTTGTGGCCTGCCTACAGGGCTACAGCTAAACTGCAACACTTGCTTAGGGTGCAGCTTGGGTGTGAACAATAGTTAGAGTACTGGGAAGGGAGGCTCCAGCAGGAAAATGGGAGACTCCTTGTGCAGATGGGCCTGGAATAGCAGCTGCTCTTGCACTGTAATATTTTGATGTGTGTTGTCCTTACTTTCTCGTAACTGCTGCAGTTGAGATCTGTCCCTCCACATTGCCTCCGGGGTCTGCGATTTGTCTATTCTCAGCTGGAATCTTTAACCTGCTCCAAATGTATCAGTACACTGGAGGTGAGTGTCTCTGTGCAGCTCACGGGGAGCTATGCAGGAGATCAAATAGGGAAATATGGGGGCAATCTTAAGCACCATATAAATCCATCTCAAATACAGATTTTTCTCCTTTACCCATTCTGGTGTCTTACCCCACAAATAATGATGAAGTATTCCTTGATTAATTACACCTGTGCTCTGCAGTCTCCTTTATAGCTGCTTGAGAATTTTG